CACGACGTGTTGGATGGGGTTTCCCTGACTATTTGGATAATGGCGAAACACGACGTGTTTGCAAGACAACATGGTGTGTTGCGTCAACATGGACTGTTGACCTTGACATTGACTTCTGTCTTTGACCAAGTTTACCTAAAGGGGGTGCTGAGGTATTTTGAGTGGTATCTAAGGATTGGTTACTGTTTAGGTGTCGGTTGAGCTGATATTCGGAGACGGGATCTATTTCAGCTATCGCTCAGATTCAGAGGTGAGTTTCCTCACTGGGTTTAGCGGGTCGTAGGCACCAATGTCGGCCCATGTTTATGCTATGTTAGTATGCTAGTTGTTTGCGTGACTCTTGCATGTGTTATGTGCTTTTATGCTTACCGGACAGGGCCCGATTCCGGGTGGGGCCCGCTGACCATTTTGTATGCTATGTATCTTTGTGATTATTGCATGTGTATGTGTTTACTTGATATATGTTTTGTGCATGCTGGGCGGGGACCGATCTGTTACCGAGCGCGGCTGGATGACGGGCGAGGCCCATTATGTGTTATTATGTATGGTATGTGGTATTTTGGGGAACTCACTAAGCTTTGTGCTTATGGTTTTTAGTTTATATTTCAGGTACTTCCTGTTCCAATAGGAAGAGCTCGGGTTGAATGCATCGCACACACCACACAAATTCGGCTTTTGAGATATGACCCTGATTGTTATGATGTTGAGATACTTATTTTCATTTGAGATGTATGGATAATATTTTTGGAATACCATTTTATTTAAATTAAAAATGAAAATTTTGGATCGTAATTTGGGACGTTGCAACTTGATCTTAAAACCTTTACACATTGTATGATGTGAGAGACTCCTAAGTTAGTATATTTTTGACACATGAGTATACCCTAATTCTTGATGTCACTATATACATGAAAAAGAGGTCATTAAGCCAAAAGGAAAAGAGGCCAACGAGCCCACCAAATGAAATGAAATTGATAAAGTAATTCATGACAAAAAAAGTAAATAAAACAAAATATAGTGGAACTTAATTAGAAAGAACTTAGTCTTAAGGAAAAAAAATAAAACTAATAATAGAGACACTTGAATAATGGGGAGGTTATGGTGAAAAACTGTTGTTCGATCACATCAACTTGTAGGTAAATTAGGGAAAGGTAGAGAATGTATATCTTATCAAATTTTCCACACACATATAAGTATCCTATTTCTTAATTATTGCTTGTTATTTGTAACATCCTAAAAATACTAATAAAAAATTTTCATTTTAAAACCATCAAATACACATAATACCACATAACATACATAACATCGGGCCCTGCCTATATATTAGGCCCCGCCCATAATACAAATAGGCCTAACCCAACATACAAACGGGCCCAACCTAACACATAATGCAAGAGTGACAAAGATAGCTAGCATCCTACATAGTATAGTGAGAAGACTCACTTCCCAGACATAGTCAACAATTAACAACTCTCACAACCAATGAATCAGGTACTACACACCTCCTAATAAACCATTCAAGGTAAACCCTTAGTCCACATTCTAAAACTAGCCAATTGGCCCAAAAGTCAACTATGTCAAAAGTCAACGGTCAAAGTCAGCATAAGATGACACTCACGTTGTGACCAACCCTTGGTCATGTCGTAGGACTCGTCCCGATCAAAAACTTGGTCGCGATCCAACTTAGTCACGATCCAAGTTACTGTTATGTCATGATGGTCAGGCCACCACGTCGTGACAAAATTTATCCAAAATAACCAGGAAACCCACAGTTGTCACGTCGTGACGAAGAGGTTGTCACGTCGTGAAAATGGGCTTTACTCAGCTCTCCATCCATAAATCCATCCACTCATTTCTTCCAGAAGGCTTGCTAACGTCCAATACAACCTAAAGATCGATGTTTTTCATCCATGCATGTCTATTGTAAGTCTAAAGCTCAAACTAGGTCAAAAATGGAGAAACAACACCATGAATCTCATGCTTGGGTTCAATTACTAGCAAAATTTAGATCTGAACCTTATGTACATCAAGGGACCTATAAAGTTGCTAACTTTATGGAATCCCACCATTCCAACTAGCTCATACATGAAGAAAAGGGGACAAAACCATAGATCTAGCAACATAGAACAATAAAGTTTGGATCTTAAACACTTACAAAGATCCAAAGATGCCCAAATGAAGTCCCAAAGCCTGCCAAGATGCTCACAATACCACCAAAGTCTTCTTCTTCCTTCAAAAGCCACCAAAAACACCAAGATGAGATAAAAATAGAGGAGAGGGGATTAGGGTTTCTTCAAGAGGGTTTAGGAGGTGATGGAGGCTGAGGGTGGAGAAAACCCTAGCCCCCACTTCCTTTAAATAGGGTCTAAGTTCGGAAATTAGGGTTTACCCCTGATCAATTTTCATGTAGTGGCCAACATGGTGTCACGTCGTGACACTTAAATGAAACTCACGTCTCTTGCGGTCACGTTATGTAGTGACAATGTTTTCCCTACATCGTGACGTACTCAAAACTCATAATTCACTTAAAACTCCATACCTTGAGGATTCAGATGTTACATTATTTATAAAAATATAAGGAATATTCTAATAGTTGTGATTGTATTGGAACTATTTAGTTAGGGAGGTTTGATCAACTAGCCTCATTTATCATGCTAATTTATACTATATTATGCATTATAATCTTGTTTAATTTATGTATAAAGGGATAGTTTGATTTGTTTTGACTGATTTGGTTAGTATAGAAATTTAAGTGAAAACCACAAGCAAATGGAGCTAAAGAGAAGAACCATATGCCTAAGGAAATCATCACAAAAACATTTGTATCAGAAGGTATCCTTGAAGCTATATAACCGTCCTCGATGATTTTTTATCACATACAATATGCACTTTCTTCCAAGGCATTCCCGATGACTTTGGGGCATCCTAGATTGATGGAGATTTTTGGTGTGTTTAATTATTTTTTAAAGCTATAAAAGGAGCTACTATGATCCCATTTAGCCTACATTTCATCCTGAACTTCAAGATGCGATTTTTAGAGAATTTAACATTATTTTGAAGATCCCAAACACCTTGAGAATTAATGGACAATACCATTCAGTCTCTTATTCCTCACAATTCTTCACTCATTCAATCTACCACATCCATGAAGAATTCAACCTTGATCAAATTGCATCTCTTAAAGACATGGAAGTCTAAGTTAATTCGAGACTGCTTTTGGTGAGATTACCATGATATTACATCCGTTTTCCTTGATTATCACTTTGATTCTAACAAAATATTATTTCACTATTATGATCTGAACACTATAAAGCATTTACATAATAGTAAACTCTTTTATTTATTTATTTATATTTTTTTTGAAATTTCATTTATTTAATTGTAAGACATTGTGGAATCGACCTGACTTTCCATACCTACTTAGGTTTTGTTGGTTATTTTTGATCCTATAATGAGACACAATGAGTTGTTTCCCAAGGATCACTAATCCATCAAAGCATGCACGAGTAGTAGCAACACCATCATGGATTATGATGCCAAAAAACTCCAAACGAAACACAAACGAGTGTCTAGACTGTTATCTCTCCTTCGACATCCACATGGAAACAAATAAACTTGGTAAGTTCACATCCTCCACTATATTATACACAAGAGAAGCTACCAACTCAACAAATCCATACACATATATGACCTTTTCAACCTTCATGAGGTTCACCGAAAACACTCATATTCTCTCATTGTTTTCTTCATTGGACATCATGAAAGAACCAAAAATATTCATAAAGATATCCAATGTAAAAAAGCATTGGAGTTCATCGTCATGCTTTCCTCTCTCCCATTTAGCCATTTGTGTCACATTCTTTAAGAAATCTAAGATGTGTTTATCAAAAAGAGACAACCCTAATAACCATTAGACATTTGTGTTTTTATACACCATTACAACAATTCTCTTGAGCTTAACTGAGAACTGAGAAATTGCAATGATAACTGTTAATAAACACTTCAATTTAATTATATAATGCCTTTCGTACGGTTACACTTAATTATAGTGTTCTAGTAAAGGAAAGAAAATAATGAGAAAGAAATATGGAGAGAAAAGAAAAGGTGGGAAAAAGAGTTGTATTTTGGTGTTTCCATTTAGAAAGAAAAGGAAGGAACAAGATAATTACTTATTCAGAATCCATAAACAAACATATCTTTATGTTTACTTCCCTCCAAATCTCTCCAATTTAGGAGGAAAATTAGGAGAGAATATCATCCTTTATATTCTCTTCACTTTCTCTTATTTTCTTCTTCTTCCTCTTCTTTTTTTTTTTCCAAAAAATAATATTAGGAACAAGATAAATTTCTTTTTATTTCCAATTCTCTTCACTTCCATTTTTCTTTTCTTAAGTTGGATTCGAAAACAAGGTGTCTCATGCTCAATCTTCCAATTTGTATAAAATGGCGATATCTATACAAATGATTAAAAATCATTTCAAACATCCAAACACATTAACTTCTTATTAGAATTACCCAAACAATAATTATATTTTGTTCAAAATAACAATAGTACATTGATTTTATAAATTTGACCGACCCCGAGGACATTTACAATACTAGGACTTGTAAATTATATTGGGCTAAAAATGTTTGATGGAAAGTCTATCTCAACTAGTTATCTTTCGAGCCCATTTTGTTGTACTCAAACTCATAAAACTCAACTTGAACGAGCTCAAGCTTGAATAGCTAATAAAAACGTTGTACAGATTTTATGTTTTGATCATTGAAAACTTTCAGTTATCCATTTATTTAAACTTCGACTTTTTTTTTTCTTCTTCTTCTTCTACCTTTTTTTTTCAGCATTAGACAAACAGGAATCAAACATTTCATATTCTGATAAATTTGAGTGACGCTGCTACGAATTGAAACCTTATGAATAGTTTCCAAGTTTCCACTGGCATATTATTTTGCAATGCCAATTCGATGACAATAGATTTTAAGATTAAAAAGTAACTATTTTAGTCGTAGGTGTTGCTCAAATGAATTGCAACTTGTGTCAAGAATCATTGGTCCTTTTACGTTGTATTTCCCAATTTTGGAAATTTTCTGATTGGCAATCAAACAAATCAAGCCACGAGCCACATGAAGAACATTGACCAAAGGGTCAGTGTCACAGAAGCTAAACCATAAGCCCACAACATAATCACCAAACATTCACTCTCACCAACTCCAAAATAACTGTGTTATTGTACCTATCAATACCATATTAAATAAATTTACAACTTTATCATTAAAATAAAAGAAAAACAGATAAAAGATATCTCAAAAATTTGAAGTCTCATAAGTCGTACCAATGTTCATAGCAGGTGGAAGCGCAAACTGTAAGAGAAGAACAAATAGATAAAGAGGATCTGCATGCACTAAGCCCACATAAACGGCTCCCTTCATGATTAAAATGCCAAAAAGTGGCAACACAACTAACCGAACTGCTACGATTCCTAGCACAATTGGTAACGAGACACGAGATGATCCTTTCAAACCTGCAAATTGTCTCTACTAATATACCAACTGGTCAATACATAAAAAAACTATATTTATAATCTAGAGTAAATTACACGAATGGTCCCTATTGTTTAGGGTAATTTGCACGTTTGGTCCCTAACTTATTTTTTTAACTCGGAAGGTCCCTACTGTTTGTTTTTGTTACGCGCTTGGTCCCTGTCTTACCTAAAAAAACTATTTTTCCCTTGATTTTTTTAATTTATTTAAATAAACACATCCCCAATCCCACCCCCTTTATCTTACCTTACATATCCTACAATTTTTCTTTATTTAAATAATAGTCTTTTGAGGTAAGACAGGGACCAAACGCGTAACAAAAACAAGCAGTAAGGACCAAGCACGTAACAAAAACAAACAATAGGGACTTTCTGAGTTAAAAAAATAAGTTAGGGATCAAACGCGCAAATTACCCCCAAACCATAGGGACCATTCGTGTAATTTACTCTATAATCTATATTTTACCTTTCAATAGGTTAACACCCAAAATCAATGTCATGGTTGGGATTGCCGCATCCTTGACACAACATGGGGAATAGGATACGTTAGTGTTAACTAAGTTTCTTTTGTTGTGGGTCCCATGATCCCATCTCATAATCGGATCCACAAAATGGAAGAGAATTCATGGGACCAACCTGTTCGGCATGTAACTTTTGAGAGCTTTTAACTATTCAAAGCTTTTAGGTTTTGTTTTTATGTAGTTTTAAACGTTTTAAAGTTAACAACTACTTTTGCCGAATACTTATGTACAAATAAAAACTACAGTTTCTAGCTAGATTTGTCAAACACGTCCTAAATGAAAATTTTGGACATGGTTTAAAAGACTATACCCTACTAATGATGCAGAATCTTGTATAACTCGAAGAGGAGCTGTGGTGCCTATTAATAGCTTACGCATTGGTGCGATTGTTCCCACAATGAAACCTACAATCTTTATGATTCAAAAGAAACAAATAGTTACATGTATGTGTGTATATACGTTTCGGGTTAAATAATGGGAAAATGACTTAATATGACAATATACTTTTTATTTTGTACAATTTAGTTACTGAATTATTTTTATCCACATTTCACCATTTAACTTGTTTTTTTATACACAGTCGGTCCTTATAACTGACTACTCTATGTTAAGCCGAGAAAATGACTTAATAGGTAATATAAAATTTAGTTTATACACATTTAGTCCTTGATGATTTTGTACATATTCGGTCCTTATTACCGATTTGTTTTCAAGGTTTTGCTCACGGCATTCTACATGGGACAATCATTAGTGAGGTGTTCTCATACGTGGCTCGTCCCATACTTATATCAGTAACCTAATTCACAGATTGGTCATTTGATGCCGTAGTTTTCTCCTAATCTGCTATGGAGATATATGAAACCGAAGCCAAAGACATCTTCTGCTTTAAGAAAACTAAGACACCAACATTATTTCACCGATTTGTTAATTAGGTTACTAATATAAGAGTGACGAGCCATGTATGCGAATATCTCATTAATGATTGTCCCACATATGACGTCGCGAACAAAACATGAAGTAAACGGTCATAAGGATTGAATACGTACATAAACATTAAAGACTAAATGTATATATACAAATTGAAAATTATATTACCTTATCATGTCATTTCCCTGTTTAAGCTGGAATAGCCGGTTATAAAGACTGAATGTGTAAAAAAAACAAATTAAATGGTTAAATGTGGACAAAAAAATTCCAGTGACTAAGAGTGCGTTTGTTTGTAGATTTTTTTTTAGTTTTCCATGAAAATTTTCAAATGAAAATGAAAATTTTAAAAATGCATTTGGTTGATTTAGTTTTTAAAAATTTTCTAAGAAAATGAATATTTTCTGTTTTCCAAATTGTATGTAAATTAGAAAAGTGATTTTTACAGTATTTCAAAAGTTTTCTAAATCTCTAAAATGGAAAAAAAAAACTCCACCGGTTGGAAACCGAACGTTTCTAAAATTTTCATCGGAAACGGAAAATGAAAACTTAAATCTATTTTCTAAAAACATTTTTTGGAAAATGAAAACAATTTTCGATAACCAAACGCACCATAAATATGTACAAAAAAAATATATTAACATCTTAAGTCAGTTTCCCTTAAATAATACACATCAAAGGTTGGTTTATACCGCTCCATTGGTCGATGGTGCGAACAATGCCTTTAAGTTAACCCGTCTTGAAAAGTTCCCCAAATGTTGCTTCATTCTATCTAATATCACCTGATTCATATAAACTTTTAAATTTTTTTATAAGTTCATATCAGACATGCATCACTCCATTGAAAGCAAAAAAACAACCTTCAATGTTCCCTTCGTGTTAACAGTAGATGAAGATGATGGAAGCAAGGTTTCAGTCAAATCCTCTTTCATGGTTTCTGTCTCTTTGACAACAATGTTATCAGAGTCCTGGGAATGATCCGAGAATACCCTTACTAGGTTGTACACATAAGTCCACAAATATATCGCTCCAATCTGATGAATGTACGTTTGTTATGAAAGAAAGAGTTTATATAAACAAATAATCATCTAGAAATTTCAATGTAAAAGTACATACTGCCAGAGATAATGAAGCATAAGCCATGGCATACTCATGACAAACATCAGGATCACCAAAGGGACTTCCTTTCTCTTTGCATACAGCTGGGATTATAATCAAAGGCAAGTTTCCCATGTTTCCTATCATTCATAATCAAGAACCAAAAATTTAAAAATTTGTCAACTTATAGGAGTTTTTTTATTTATGTTCTTAATATAGAATTATATATATTCATCAGGATGCAAGCAATTTACCAGCTGCGCATGCACCTAGGATGAGGCCCTTTAGATGTTTAGGTGGTTTAGTGATTATCAAAAGCACCCATCCAAGTGCTGACCCAATTATGAATGTAATAAGAATATTCACAGGCATAAACCACCTGAAGTTTTTAATTAACAGTTAATCTTCAAACAGTGACAAGAGAATTAAGAACTTATTGACGAAAGATTACATAGAAATGATGCTTTCGAGAGTGATTGTTCTAGCAAGATTGTTGCCCACAAGTGCTGGACTGAACACAAAGAACACAATCTGATCAAATAGGAAGGAGTATTATGAGTCACATATTTAGAAAATCGTATATTTAATCATATTTAGTTTTTTCTTTAATCGGCGAAGGCTAAAAAGAGACTCGAAATTAGAGCCATGAAATCAAAATCTTTGTATACTAGTCCAATGATCAGAAAAATCGAATCTTTAATTAGATATGCAACTTTCTTGAACATGGGTATTTGAATTCCATAATCCGAAAAACTGAATCTTCCATTAAACTACCAAGATTTTGTACTATTAGTAAGCTTAAGAAAAAGGGACCACGAAAATGCAGGGAGGACTAGTCCTAAAGTTCAATACCGACTTGTACATTACAAGTCAACAATGCACAACTGACGATCTCTAACTTGAATTGCGGACGTATGCTTTCTTGAATAATTAAAGGAATTTTAAAGACTTACATTATTGACTTGCTTCCTTGTACTTTGTCCCAAGATATCAATAGAATCCAGTGCAAGAAATGAGCCAAGTGCAGTAACTATAAGAACTTTGAGAACAGGCATAGAAGCAGCAGAAAACAGATCTAGAAACCCCATCTGTAAAACAAACGGTTTTCAGAAATCGCAAAAAAGGGAAGCAAGAATCAAAATCTGATTACAGTTGTGAAGTCAAAGAACTGGTGTATATAAAAAAAGTGAACGAACTGAAATTCTAGGTACGTATCATCATTATATTAAAAGACAACATTATACATGCATGATGCATGAGCAAAGCATGCTTAGAGATACTAAAACTTCAAGAAAGCAATCGGTCATATTTTATTGATAATTGTGAAAGCATCAGAACAACAAAACAAGGGAAAACGACTGTTACCTCAAGATGGTGTAGTAATTAAAGGCAGCCCTTTTCTATAAATTTAGAACTATTAAGTATCAAATATGCAACAAAAAGCTCATTAACTTTCCATTAGAACGGTAGTTAATGTGGAATAAGATATGAAACAAAAAGTTCCTTTGGGTTTTTGGGAACTCGGGACTCATGGATGGATGAATCAAGAACAACACATTGGAGACAAATCATTGAAAGATTTCAGATGAGGCTCACAAGATGGAAAGCTTCCACTTTGTCCTTTGGGGGGCGTCTGACTCTATGCAAAGCAGTGTTGAGCAGTCTAGGCTCCTTCTATTTTTCGATTTACAAGGCGCCCATGAAGGTAATAAAAACACTTGAACAGATCCGTATGAAGTTCTTTTGGGGTGGCTCCATGGAAACAAGGAAAATGGCATGGATAGCTTGGGACAAAATCCTTGCAGCAAAAGATAGAGGCGGGCTCGGAATCGGTAGTTTAAAGGCGCAAAATATAGCATTGTTGGGGAAATGGTGGTGGAGATTGAAGAATTTTCCTGACAGCAATTGGGCGGTAGTGATTAAGTCCATACACGGTCCTGATGGTGGCTTGTCTAGGCCGACGGCAACAAAAAGGCGAAGTGGTTGCTGGGGTACAATTGTCAATATCCCAAACTCACTAGATAAAGATCAGGTGTCTTTTTTGAACCATTTCCAACAAGTGTCAAACGCGGACGGCTCACCAAAATGGACCTGGTCACTTGACCCTTCTGGGTTGTTCACTGTTTCATCGTTGAGATCCCATATTGACAATATTATCCTTCCCTATAGCGACGGAAATTGGACCTGGAATGCACTCGTACCAGGGAAGATAAATATTCTTGCTTGGAGAGGTGGTAAGGGCAAACTTCCATCCATGGACAATCTTTTCAAATTTGGTATCAGCTCTACAAACTTGTGTAAGATGTGTAACGCGGCTCCAGAATCTGTGGATCATATTTTTGTGGGTTGCCCGGTCTCAAGTGAAGTATGGCTACAAGTGTGTAAATGGTGGCGACTATTGGATTGCTCTTATAGCTCATGTCGAGACTTGCTAGACTGTAAATTAAGGATTGGTGGTCATCAAAGGCTGCTGGTGATTCATGAAGCTATAATGCTAGTATTCATGTGGGTAATCTGGAGATATAGGAATGTTAAGGCTCATGGACCTAACGCAAAATCACACACGGTGTTGGCATCTGAGGTACAAGCTCTGTCTCATCTATGGATAAATGCTCGGAAGAGGAGAGGTCAAAATCTAAGTTGGTACGATTGGTGTTCTGACCCGGTTTTGGAATGCTATAGAAAGTTGTAGTTTTCTTTTGTTCCAGTTTTCATGTTCTGTTTCTGTTTTGTTTTCCCTTTGTATTTCTTCCTTTTGTATCTCTAGCCCCTGGCTAGCTTTCATTTTTAATATCATGCCTGCCGTTCAAAAAAAAAGAAGGAATCTGAGACAAACCCACATAACGATTTTGATTCAAAGAAATTATAGTTCAATTCTAAACTCTTATAGTGGGAGATAAGGACGAAGAATCAAGAATATTATAAGAAAACAACAATGAAAGGTTAAGAGAATATGATACCATTGCTGTCAACTTTATTATTATTATTATTATTATTATTATTATTATTATTATTATTATTTTGTTTACTTTCTCCATATTTGGTCTTTTGTGTGCTTGTGTTTTTTTTTTTTTTTTGGAAAACGATACAACGGTCTTATTATGTATTCCGACTTTATCCTTTCAGTATCTAAAGTTTGTTTTCGTACATTTTAAGAGAACAAACTGTTTTTTCCGGTTACCCACTGTTTTTTCCGGTTACCCTTTTGCCGCATTAACATTGACTTTTTTATAGATATTGACTTTCTATATTTATATTAATTCCTTTTCACTTTAGAAATAAATAAATATGGGTCTCTCTCTCTCTCTCTCTCTCTCTCTCTCTCTCCTCTCTCTCTCTCTCTCTCTCTCTCTCTCTCTCTCTCTCTCTCTCTCGTATCACACACACACACACACACACACCCACCCAAAAACATTGAAACTCCACCTGCAAATACATTTTCTCTACTTAGGCCCTGTTTGTTTACTTCTTAATTGAAAAATTAAGAGGTAACCTCTTAAAAATTCAGATATAACTTGTTTGATAGCTTCTTATTTTTTGCCTCTTAATCTTTTAAAAGGCTCTTAATATTTTAGATATAAGGTAGAGTCTGAAAAAAAATAAGAGAGGCGTGTTCCTTTTTTGCCCACCGCTCCACTCTTCTCTTTCTATTTCTCACGGGTTGCTTTTCCTTCCCACACATCTCCAACAAAACGCCGACATCTTCTACTTGCCGCTTTGCCACCTCCGACCTCCACCCTCATCCATCGCCAGCGCCACCGGCGGCTCTGCAGCGAACCCAACTCTTTCCCTCTTCTCGTTGTCCTTCACTCGACGCAGCCTGTCTTCTCCCTTCCGCTGCTGGCCGGACCTGCAAAATCCTCCACCATCGTCGGTGCCTCCGCCATCGCTTCCGGCAGCCCCGTCGCCAGCGACGCCCTTCAGTTCCGTGACATCTCGTCGAAAACAACATTTAGGTAAAAAAGTTTTTTTGTTCCTTTAAATCTCATCGAAATTTGTTCTGTGAAATCTCTCAAAATTTGATCTCTATCATTGTTTGTTTGATCATATCGGTTGTTTATTGATGAATTTGATTTCCATTATATGTTATTGAGCGACTGATTATAAGAAAAAATGTGTATACACTCTAGGAACGAACTTTGCTTATTATATACTGTTTTGAAATTTAGAATTCTCGTGAAATTGGCTTTGAGATTTGTTTATAATAATCGTTATTGTGATCATTATTGGTGGTGTGATTTATGAATATTGAAATGTATGATGGCAGCAAACACTCCTGAACCTGCTACTTTGCAATTATTTCCATTACAATTTGTATGACCAAATAGAGAAGCTGAGATCAAAGGCACAACCATGTTTTGAAGTTCATTCAAATCAACAACTGTTTTGTATAACTTTCTGCTGAGATAAGAGTGATAGAAACGTATTTTTTGCAGTAGCAAAAAATAGAAACATATTTTATTTGGCTATTGTATGATATTTATGTTTCCATGGGTATGATATTTACGTTTCCATGGATTGAAAGAAGCGAATTTGGAAGAATTTATGTTTAATTTGGTTATATCGTATGATGTTTATGTTTCCATTGATTGAAAGAAGTGAATTTGGAAGAATTTATGTTTAATTTGGTTATTGTATGATCATTTGTTGTTTTTATCAATTATGCATTTATCATTTAGCACATCACAAAACTAAGGAAGGGTAAAATGGTCATTTTTATAATTCAGGTTACAATTCAGAGGTTCCAGCCAAACAGCATGTTAAATATTCATATCTTAAAAATTCAGATCCTCTTAGAAATTCAGACCTCTTAAAAATTCAGATCCTACCAAACAACCCATTATTCTTAGAAAATTGAAGTCTATGGTTTGTGAAATCGATGAAGAAATCAAAACTTCAAGAAATATCAATCAGAACTGTAAGAAATCGACAAAGGCGGATGTCTTTCCCTCTCCCGATCTCGATCTTGATTTTTCACTTTATCTTTCCAATCACTGACCACCACCCACCTTCTTGTCGTCATTACCGGTGAAACAAATCGACGAAGGGGTAGGGTGGTAGGGATGGTCTAGATCTACCTTCATAAACTCGGATTTTGAGTCTATTTCTCCCTCTTGTTGTCCTTATGGTTTTGATTTCAGGTTCTAATTTATGGTTTCGAGTTCACATGGAGGATGACAACGATGATTTTAACATGAGTTTAGTTTTTCTGGGTTTTTCATTTCAAGTTACGTTGATGTTTTGTTTATGGGTTATAAAGGAAGAATACACACGTGAAGGGAAAGAGAAATCAGAGAAAGGAAAAAGAAGAAATAGAAAATGAAAAAAAGGAGAAAGAAGAAAGGGATCAATTTCAATGTTTTGTTTATGGGTTACAGGGGAATACATAGGGGAAGGGAAAGAGAAATCAAAGAAAGGAGATATAGGCGATCTGAATGTAGATGGAGCAAGTGATAAAGGGCATGAGGTAAACGACGATAGCAATGATGAGGTTAAAGAACTAGTGGCGATGGAAAAGCTCGCCATTATTGATCCTTTTTCTTGGTAAAAACAATTTTAATTTTGATAAGAGAAATCTAAGAAAAGCAAAAGAAGAAACAGAAATGAAAGAAAGGAGAAAGAAAAAAATATCGATTTCAATGGCGAGTGCAAGCTTCAATTTCAACTTGACTTCCGAGAGAGAGAGAGAGAGAGAGAGAGAGAGAGAGAGAGAGAGAGAGAGAGAGAGAGAGAGAGAGAGAGAGAGGAGAGAGAGAGAGAGAGAGAGAGAGAGAGAGAGAGAGAGAGAGAGAGAGAGAGAGAGAGAGAGAGAGAGAGAGAGAAAGGTGGGCCCCAAGTTTTATTATTATTATTTTTACTAAAAAAATGTCAAATCATATAGAGAGTGAAGCCACATCAGCATTAAATGCTTACGTGGCTTATGTAAGCTGATATATCCAAAAAAGCAGGTCGACATCAACTTATTTCACTTAAAGTGCAAGAAAATAACTTTAGACACCGAAAGAGTAAAGCCGAAATACATAGTAAGGCCGTTGCGTCACTTTATTATTATTATTATTATTATTATTATTATTATTATTATTATTATTATTATTATTATCAACTGTTATGACTTAAGGCCATTTAGTTTTTGACTAGAATGGTGTTTTTAAAAAAAATATTTACCGAATAAATATAGTTTAAAAGTATTTTATCAAATAAGTATAGTTTTAAAATTTTATATTTATTAAAAACTTTTAGATTTCATTTTTAACTATTTTTATTGTTTTTTAATATGTTTTTTTCCCTCCGGTTTTTTTGTAACTTTTTGATAATATTGTTTATTGAATTTTTTTTACCGATTATAACCAACAATTTATTTGAATGTAAACCAGCAATGATTTCTTAATTTAAACCAACAAACAACATCTCAAAATAAAACCAACAAACATCATCTTAAAATAAAGGGGCAATTACTAATCTAGCCAAATTAAGGAAGTCATTAGCAATTTATAGCCAAAAATTAGTAAATGTCCAAATATAGCCCACGAAACCGTAGGTTTCGATATTCGTCTACTGTTTCGCCAAATCGTCTACTGTTTTGTGTTTTGTATAAAAAAAAAAATTCATTTTTAGGATACAAAACCGTAGGTTTTTTAAAACCTACGGTTTCCTCTCGAAACCTACAGTTTCCCAAACCGTAGCTACGGTTTTGAGTGAAAAAATACGTTTTTTTTTAAATCTTCTGTTTTGGGGGTTTTAACTACTGTTTTGGGGAAACCGTAGGTTTTAAAAAACCTACGGTTTTGTATCCTAAAAATGAAAAAAAAAAAATTATACAAAACACGAAACAGTAGACGATTTGGCGACACAGTAGTCAACCTACGGTTGACTACTCTTTTGTGGGCTATTTTTGGCTAAGTGGTTTTTTTTGGCTATTTTTTGTTAAGTAATTAAGGATTTTGGCTAGATTTGTATTTTCCCCTAAAATAAAAACCAAATCTTAGGTACAAAACCAACTATCTATACTTAGAAAAAAAAAATAAAAAAAAAGGGAATAACTTGATTCGATAATCATTATCGACAAAAAAAGATATAAAGTCATATGTAAAGCAATCAAAAAACAACATCAACAATATGTAAATTTTAATGATATCATCATTAATATATAATCAGAAATCCAACAAATTAAACAGCATTGTATGTGAAAAAACAACATCAGAAATCAAAAAACAACATCAGACAAGACCAACAATCAAAAAACAATATTAGTAATATATAATCAGAAAATCAAACTAAAATTTAGAAAAATAACCTAAGCAAGTTCAATGTAAATTTCGAAAGTGGCTTACAAATGTTGACAAAAAAGTTTAAAATTGTAACTTAATCAAGTGAAAATCTGGTAGAATGAATATGAAATTTCAAAAACATGTATTCAATATACCTAAAAAAAATCCATAAATCGAAGATGAAAGTAATATAATCGAAGTTGAGATAGAGTTCAAAATCGGACCTGAGATGAAATTGTTGGCTGGAGGAGTGGACGGAGGTGGAGTCGCCACCGTCTGGGTGGAGTGGCCGGCTGTAATTGTGCCAAAGATGGCAAACGATGATGTAGTTTGAACCTTTTTCTCACTTTGGATTGCGTCGTTCAGTGTGTGGGCGGAGGTGGAGTGACCGACTGGAGCGCCGGCTGGAGATGGCAGTGCGACCAAATAGAAGATGTCGTCGTTTGTATCTTCTTCCGTTTTGCTTGCGTCGTCCAGTAAAAAGGAGAAGCGGAGAGTAAGGGCTTAGGGCACAATTGTAATTTTTTTACTAAATGGCTAAACTCGTTGGTTTGGTAAATACTTTGAAAACAACACCTATATAGTAATTACTTTTTTTAAAAACACCCATTTTGTAAAAAAACTCGCCATTTTACTAATGAATATCATCCGTTTCTTGTGTTAAACTTGTATGGTGTTCTGGATTGTGGAGTGACTAAGACCACTACTGCACTGCCACGTCATCACCACATCACTTTTTCATTCACCCCACAAAACTGGATGTCGTACCACACCTTATCACTGTAACGACCCAAAAATCAAGGGTAAAAATTTCATTTTTGATATAGCCAAAGCATTGATACCATTTATTCAAAACATTCCAAGACATCGTTAGTTAAAAACATTTATCAGAGTTCATCCCAAAATCACTCATTGCGGAAAGCATAGGTGTGTGCGTTGCGAGCAAGCCGTGCCCTTCCTTTCCAAATCGATGATACCTGAAACCAAAACTGTAAACCGTAAGCACGAAGCTTAGTGAGTCCCCAGAGCATACCCCACACTCAATCCACATAACACATATCATATTAGCTATAAAAGCTACATATATCACATAAGCCATGCATACTAACATATAAGGATGTCGTGGGCTCCTCCCAGGGTCTTATACCTTCATTCCATGGGCTCCCCCATGGTCTTTACCTAGGAACGTCACGGGCTCCCCCACGTGGTCTTATATCCAACTGCCACGGGCTCCCCTGGGGTCTTCCATGCAATAACATAATAATCAACTAGCATATCATATATCACAGAAGTATCTATCATACTATATAACTCATACATATACATATAAGGATGTCGTGGGCTCCTCCCAGGGTCTTATACCTTCATGTCATGGGCTCCCCCATGGTCTTTAGCTAGGAATGCCACGGGCTCCCCCACGTGGTCTTATATCCAACTGCCACGGGCTCCCCCCAGGGTCTTCCATGCAAATATCATATAATCAATAGCATACCACTTAGCATAAAGCTAACTATCATACCACATATCTCTACTACAGCTAGTGTACCACATATCATAAAATGGGCCGGCCTTGGTGCCGTAGACCCATTGGTATGGTTAGAAGACTCACCTCGACAACATAAGCTTCCCGAATGACATCCTTAGCTGTTGCCCTGCCGACTTACCGAGCTATCAATACCAATCAGTACACCGAATTAGCAAATTGGGTTCCATACTATAATCCCTAATCCACACATAGGGTAAAATGACCATTCTACCCTTGGCCCAGTATGATCTAAGACTGAGGCCCAAGCCCAAACAAAAGCCCAACACTATAATGTCCATAAATCCATCAATGGACCTAATCTGCGAAGGCCCAGTACCCAAAAGGCCTAAATACTTAATGGTCAACCCTAGTCAACTCCTGGTCAAGGTCAAAGTCAACAGTCAAGGTCAACAGTCACTGTTGACCTCACCTCGTCGAGTGCATCTAGCAACTCGTCGAGTGCATCTAACAACTCGTCGAGTCACCTGCGTAACTCGTTAACTCGCCAAGTTACCTATGTAACTTGTAACGAACCAAAAATCGAGGGTAAAAATTTCATTTT